CTGGAGGCTGTGTCACTGGTGTTTTAAGTACCAGCAGGGTCACCCACAGTGCACAGGTTGCAACGGAGCTTCCAGACTGAGAACAGACTACCAAGAAGGAATAGGCTGCCCACTTCCAAGAAATGAGCCCACTGACAACCTTATGCATAGAATCAAAACAAACACACCGTCAGGTACGGAAGGCCTAATGAGTGGAAGCAGAACGTTGTCAGGCAGAGTGCTAGAGAAACGGGCCTTCGGGTCAGAAGGCATTTAGCATATGACTCAGGAGGAGGAGCTGCCTTCTCAACATCGAGGTGACCACGATGACAGGAGAGGTGTAAAGCCTGTGGGAGGAAAGCCTGTGGGACCTTCATTTGCTGAGGGGGGCACAACTTAACATGAGAAGAAACAGTTGCAAACATCAATTAATAATCTGAACTTGGAATGTAAGAAGCATGGATCTAGGAAAGTCGGAAGCCATCAAAAATGAAATATAAAGATCAATATCCCAGGCATTTGTGAGCTGAAATGGATTAGTATTGAACATTTTGAATCCAAAAACCATATGGTTTACTACGCAGGGAATGACACAATTAATAGGAATGGGGTTAGATCCCTCATCTCAAAGGTCAAGGTCTATCTTGAAGTACAATGCTGTCTGCAATAGGATTATATCTATCCGAATTCAAGCAAAGTCAGTCAATTCAACTGTTGCTCAAATTCATGCACCAACCACGAAAGCAAGTGATATAGAAATTGAAGTATTTTACCAATGTCTTCAGTCTGAAATTGATCCAACATACCATCAAGATGCATCGATAATTATTAATGATTGGAACGCAAACGTTGGAAACAATGAAGAAAGAATAGCAGTTGGAAAATATGATCTTGAGGATAGAAAAGGAAGCTAGAAATTAATGATAGAATTTTGCAGGACCAATAACTTGTTCACACCAAATACCTTTTTTCAACAACACAAAAAGCAGCTAGACTTCTCCAGTTGACTACATCTGTTGGTAGAGATGCTGGAGTAGTTCATTATCAGCAACAAAAACCAGTCCGGGGGCTGACTGTGGGACAGACCATCAATTGCTCATATGTAAGTTCCGGTTGGAGCTGACGAAAATGAAAACAAGTCCACAAGCCCCAAAATAGGGCCTTGAACTTCAGGAACAGATCTGACACATTGAACATTAAGGACAGAAGACCGGATGCGCTGTGGGAAGGACAGCAAGGACGTCACACATGAAGAAAGCAAAGGTTATTAAAAAGACGGCAAAGGAGAAGGTCAAGTGGGCCTCAGAAGGGACTCTGAAACTCACTCTTCATCATAGAGCAGCTCAGAGAAATGGAAGACGTGACGAAGCCGCAGAGCTGAACAGAACACGTCAAAGGGCATCCGCAGAGACAAACATGTAGAGCGAAACGTGCAAAGACCTGGAGTAAAAACCGAAAGGCAGAGCACACTCAGCATTTCTGAAACTCAAAGAACGCAAGGTTGCTCCCGCCCCCCCCCTAGTCACTGGTCTGCACAGACGTTGCTCCTGGTATAAATGAACTCTAGTAATTTAAACTCTCCTCTCAACTTTAGTGCGATATTCCAACTCAGGAGGTCTGACTCTTGGGCCGGGGAAGGAGAAGCATCCGGGTAACAGCCCTGACACCCACGTGCTCAGTGAGGTTCAGGTGCCCTCACACCCACTGAAAGAAGCCAGGGGGTGTTGTCTACAGACCCCTGAGTGGCATTGAAAGACAACACACAAAGCTGGTGTCCACCAGCCCAGGGGACTGAGGAGATGGCGGTTGTATGCAGAGGAGCCGGGCCTGTCCAGTCCCGTGGGTGGCACCACCAGGTCAGTATGGTGGGAAGGGAGTGGGTCCCTGGGCACGATCTTTTCCATCTTCAGGGGCCGTGGCTTTTTGGATGGTGGCTAAGGACCAGGATGGGGACAAACTGACCTATGGGATTAATGGCCCCAAAGCCTACTTCTTCTCTGTCAACTCAAGCACGGGGGAAGTGAAGCTGGCCAGCCCTCTGGACTATGAGGTAAGGGGCAGCAGCCTGGGGGAGGGGAGGAGGAGGCGGGGGAGGGGGTGCCCTGCCTAGGCTCCCACCCCACTCAAGCCCTCTCACTCTCCTCTTGCAGACTGAGATCCACTTTAAGGTCAACATCTCTGTGAGCGACAGCTACAACTCACCGGTGAGTGGGCCGGTGGGGGAGGGAGGGCAGTCTCGGGATGAAAGAGCCACCCCTCCCCCCCGGGTGCCCCGCCTCAAGCAGGCAGAGACAGCCCAGGTCCCCAAATGAAGGTCTTGTTATCGGAATTATGCCTGCCTACGATTTGAATACAGCAAACCGGAGCCCAATGCCGCCATCCCCGCTTCTGGGAAGGACTCGCTTTCAATGCCTGTAGCTGACCCTTTCAGGAGCTGCTCGCATGTGGAAACCATGCCTATGGGACCGGGTCTGGTTTTCTGGTTTGTGACCTGGACGCTGAGGTTGGATATTTATCTCTGACCTACTCCCAAGCCCCATGTGTCTCAGTGTCCCACAGCTGCTGTGACACAAACACCCCGCGTGGGTGGCTTGGAGAAGAGCTTCGTTACCCACATGTCTGGAGGAAGGTCCCATTTGGCTGGGTGTGTGGATTTGTTCTATGTTGGTAGCCTGGTTG